TTGAAGAGCTAGTTTAGACCTTCATTTGGTTACAGCTTTCCAAATAGCCATGCATTTTTATAATTCATTGAAAAATACAGCAGCTGTACCAAATGTATCAGTACTTTTTTTATAAATTGCTTTGCAATATACAACTGAAAGTATTTTTCAGGGCCACTGTTGAAATGCTCAGTAAAATTCCCATTTGAAGCCCACATTAGGGCATATGAAGGATGCATGTCCACACACTGTACTCCCCACCTTAGATTACACAGAAGGGAAAACGAGGAGACTGTAAAACAGCTAAAATCCATTCCCTGTCCCCTTGCTCTAGACCTGTGTGCTCACAAAACTCGGGGCAGTTTGCAGTTGAAGAGGCCCTTGCCCAAACGCTACCGTCCCAGCAGCTTGGCCCCCAGAGCCTCCCTAGTTCATTCCAGTGCAAAATAAGGCGTTCACATACACCACAGATGCAACTTCTTAAAGTAGTACTGCAGTTTGCAAGCCAACAGCTGACTGCTTACCCTTACTCATCCTTTTACCCTCCACTCATCCTTCTACCAGCGTGTACTTTCTGCAACCTCTGTACTTAGCATTTTCCATCACACTGAATGTAACATTATGCACTAACTTTTTGGTTTGGTTTTCTAGCCATACGGCAGGAGTTGAGTAGAATCAGTACAACATAATGATTGCAAAGCATTTGGACGGTACTAAGAATGCTAGGAAGATCGGATCATTTCTAAGTGTACCAAGGTCATGCAAGATGGTGAGAGAGGACACCGGCACTGTCTTTGTTCTTACACCCTTTTTATTAGCAGACTCAGCACACTTTGAAGCTTGCTGCTGCCTTGGATTCGCTTCATTTTAAAAGTCTTAATCTAAAGATTATTAAATTTTAAATTTTCGGATTTTTTAGATTTCATCTGACACTGCACATTGGATTTGTCAGCCTTTTTTGTATTTTGTATTTGCTTATTTAAATGTATTACCTTTCTTTTTAGTAGTAGATAAGAACACACGTGAACCATTTGCTTTTGATAGGTGACTTCAAAGTAATTTTACTAGTAGTCTGCAATGTAAATGAAGATCCTTTGCCAACAGAAACGTATTGAGGCATCACCAGAAGAAAGAGAGACATGTTTAGTTGTCAGCCAACAAGTTCTTTGTCTCAGAGTTATCACAATATTAAAAAATGGTACGTCAGTGCATCACAGTATCTGTGTTCATATTGGTAATAAACTGTTTATTGTCCACATGGCCCTGCCTTTCTTTGTTTCATGTGTCCCTTGAGCTCCCGCGCTTCTGTGTCACTTGAGGTGATGATAAGAGGAAGGTGACTGAGGATCACTGTTGGGTGGCAGCTCTGCCTGAGCAGTGCTGCAGAGCATGAGGAGAGAACCTGAGTGTTTATGGCCGATGCAGTGGCCACAGCCCTGCCTTATCTCACGGTGAGACGTGGCTCTCCCCTGCCCAGCCCTCTCGTATCGCCGGCTGAGCACCACCTCCTGCAGCCAGGCTGCCACAACCTCAGCAACTTTTTGCCAAAGTCGGTGAGGGACAGTGGCCTACAGCTCTTCTCAGGCCACCACCACCTGTCCCACTGCATCTTCAGCCATCACTGAAAAAAAACACAGGTCCCATCACCTGCACCTCCTTCAGGCTTCCAGTAATAAAAGGGAGGTGTTTATGCAGAACAAGGCTACCAAAGGGATTAGGAGGATGCAGGCTGAAATCACTGGCATAGCACTGCTGACTAGAGGCATAAGGGGAGTCATATGTTAATCTTGTGCAGGTCTTGAGCATTATCCAAGATATCCATACAGGACACCAAACACTTAACAGTGCATACCCAGTCATATCTTTCAGTTTTTTTCTTTACAGCCATTTTTTCCACCAGCACAATCTTAGGAATTTCTGCTTAATTTAGTTTGGCGCAAGCTTTACGTGGCAGTCTTGATACCATCTTCTTGATAACTTTGTGCAAAAGGCAAGAGATTGGAGTTCAGCTACTGAAGTCTGTCAAATATTTTCCAAGCTCCTTTCCTTGCTTCAGGCTTCCATGAAGATTTTGTTTTAAAAGCCAGGCCCCAGAAATGGTTTTGGGAGCAGAGCCTGATGCAGCAGCCTAGGAGGGGCTATGTTTGTCCACCTGCTTGTGTCCCCCAGGCCTCATGGAGCAGTGCAGCAGGCAGGAGGGGCTGCTGGCAAGCTACAGGAGATCCAGGAGAGGAGGCAGGATGGGTTGTGCTTGGAAGTTTGCTGTAAAATGTTACCTGTGTTCTTTTGGGGACCATGGCGTGTTCTTCAGTGCTCTTCAAAGCAGCCTGATCTGCCTTTTAGAAATAAGTCTTTTTTACCGTGTGGTTATGCTATAATTAAATATGGGAGAAATGGGAGTAATCTGAGTTTAATGCAGTGATGGGCTCCAGTCTGAGCCTGATGTTTGTTAGATGTTTAATGCCAGCAGAAGGCAAGAGATAGGTTAAACAGTGGGATAGAGATTTCCACATGGGAACTAAAGCAGGCAGACACCCTTGTGCACGAGAGTATGGGAACCCCAGGACCAAAAGTAGGAGTCTTTCCAGTATGAAGAACACAGACAAGCATCAGTAACAGCAGAGATTAGAACGCTCTGTTGTATAAATCTCTTACAGTAGCTCATGCGTTTACTAATTATAAACCCATTAATGGCATACCTGATGATGGCAAGCCCTTTTCAAAACTGCTGCCTCTCAGATCAAAACCATTCTGTGAAACTGTCCCGTAATCCTAATTAAGCTGCAGGAAGTTGGTGCCTGGCACGGTTCACTTTTTCCCTTGGAATGTGGCATTATGCCTAAGGTCAGTAATAACCATGTTGTAATTTGGGCTGAGTGTGCAGCCTGGATACGTTGTGCCCCTCTGTTAGCATCAGCCAGCTACTGTAAATGGGTTTTTCTTACTTTCTTCCTCCACCTTTGCAGGCCTCGTATAATTAAGACATAATAAGCTGAAGTTTGCACAAGGCCACTTAATAGCAGTGGGAGCAAGGTGTGAGGGGTGGAAGGGGAAGCTTGGCAGACAGGGGCAGGGGAGTAGTCCTGGCATCACAAGCACTGTGCTGGTTCCCAGACTTAGAACTCCAATGTCAGGGATGCACAAGGTGGCTTATTTTCAGTAGTGGCACTGCCAGAGGATTCCCCCCTCCCAGACAGTAATTCGGTTTGCCAGTTGCCTCTGTAGAGAAGGGTGTCCTTTTAGAGTGGGCTTGTTGAGCCACTGCTACAGGGCAGAACAGAGGCATTTTACATAGCAGAAATCTAAGGGGAAATTAATCTCCACTCTGACCTGTTATACAGTTCCTTCTTGCCAGAGCATTAGTGTGCCCACACGGTGAAGGAGATCTGGATCAATTTTTAAGCAAAGGGAATAAAACTATACACAGCCCTGACGGACTTTTTCCCCACACCCATGTGCCCTGTCGTTATGGAAAAAAAAAACTTCTGCCAACATTACTGCCCATGGGGAGGAAAGGATCACAGCCTTCTCCAGCAGTACCCACACACACTGGAACTCAGCTCACATTACACATCTACAGGCACTGCAGCCACTTCAAATTCCTGCTGAGATGGACGGTGACAATCAGGAGGGCTGTGGGGCTGCCCAGGCTAAGCAAGCTGGGACCATGATGGAAATACTGATGGGAGGCAGATTAAGAAGCGGTTGACAATTTTGGTTGGCCCCTGTTTACATCACAGCCTCTGTGTCAGGCTAGGGTAGTAATCCATACACCACATAAGTGACTACATTATGAAACAGCTGAGTAAGGGAACTACAGCATGAGGTCACTCATCAAAGAGGATAAGGACAAAAGTCAAATCAAGGAAGATAGCATAATCTTTATTGTGGTTTTTATATTAACTTGCTAAGTTGGACAAGAGAGTTGAGGAACAGCTGCTAAGGACATGGAAGTTGAATATCTGGTCAGAGTGCCAGCAGCACTGAAGTAAATTAATAAAAAACTAAGGTTCCCTGACATAAGCACTCATACAAATAAGGTAATGGAAGTTCCCACATAAACACCTCTTCCTTTGGGAGAAAAGCAGCTTTAATAATTAAGACATAATGACTTAACTATGTTCTTCACTGAGGAAGCCCAGTTCTTCTTATCCAAAAGCACAAAGCCATATCTGTGAACAAACTGGTATTCAGCCCTGTATTACAAAGGATCTTGCTCTGCTGAGCATATCTGGGTATTTATTTACCCATTTGCCAAAATCAGATGGGTGAGAAAAATGGAGGAAGGGGAAACGGAGGAGGAGGAACCCAAATTGCAGCAGGCTAGCTTGGCTGTGTGCCAGGCTAGTGAATGGACACTGGTTTACTGGATACAGTGCTTCTGGAGCAGGGAACAAAATTGCATTTATTGAGGAAATCAGGCTTTCCAGGTCTAATTGTATACTTTGAGAGACTGATGAGACTGCACAATAATCCTTTTCTTTGTTACAGCCATGGATTTCCAGAAGAAAAAAAAAACTGTTAGAGGGCTAGAAGGCAAGAGCACCTATACAGATCTGTCTTTTAACTGCTTAGTAAGGAAAGAAATACTTTGCCAGCTTTCCAGCCGGATGGGAAGATACTAGATGGCATCTGAATATCTGAATTCGTGACTCCCAAGATATTGTTCTGCTTGGAGAAATGTATATTGATTTAAGGTTTTTGATGACAGGGAATTATTGAGGATAGCCACAAGTTTATTGTTGGAGAGGACAGGCAGGAAGATTTGTGTCTTCCAGTGGGCAGAAATGACAGATGAAGGTCAATAGCACCAAGTAAGAGATGTAGGGAGATAAACAGCCCCATCTCTGCATTCCATCCTCTTAACACCATCAGTGGCAATTTTATATAGCTGGAGTATCATATGCTTCCCAAATGCCAAGTCAGTGCCCCTTGAATGACAGAGAAAAAAATTTACCATTATTATGAAAGCAGTTAGGAACAAGTACCACCATAGGTGTGTCTTCACTGACACACCTTCCTAAATCCTATGCACAGAGAGGGGTATAATATAGAGGAGATCAAGAAAGGTGATCAGGAGTGCTAACAATCTTGACAAGGAACAATTAAAACTAGAAACTCTCCATTCCCAGAAGGACTTACAGTGGGGAAATGTGTGAGAAACATGAAGTTATGGATACAGTTGAAAAGGTGAATGAGAAAGGACCAGGCAGTTCCTCCAGAAGCATATTCATGCTGCTGCTCAGGGCAGCGGGTGGAAGACTAAAGGAAGGATTTCTCCCTGCCACAGTTCAGATCTGTCAGTTCGCCACAGTGAGTATTAGATCCTCATGGAAATGCATTCAGAAAAGGTTTAGACAAATCCCTGGAATAAAGATCAAACACCAGCTACTAAAATAATGATACAACTATACAAAAATATAAACATATTTCATTGCATATACAAAATCTCTGTTACTAGCAATTATCAGAAGATTATTAGATTAGACAAGACATTGAGCAAAAGGCACCCTTGTGTTCTCCAGAGAGTGTCATTTACTACTGCATGCCAGTCCTCCCTGCTTCCACAGTCCTGTGCACGCAGAGCATCCACTTCTAATCTGGCATCAAGAGAAACTAGTCCTCAACTATACACACACATGGTCACATGTAACACACAGTAAACATTCTCCACTGCAGACCAGGCCAAAACTCAGGCTTGGGCATGTGTGCCCCAGGAAGTTATTTCAAAGCCTAGACCAGAGGTTCACCTAATCATAATTCACTCTAACCTAGTTTCTGAGGGTTACACATACAAACATCCTTTATTAAAAAGTATCAGTAGTCTAAAATAGTGCATTCGATTGCTTAATTATCACACTCATCCTCTTGGTCTAAGCAGCATGCACCAACATTAATTCAGCACACACAGAGATCCTCCTATTTCCGCAGAAAACTGAAGTCATGTGAAAACTGAAGTCAAGTGTGGAAAAACACACCCCACTGCCACAGGCAGACCAGCCCATTAGCTTTCCTTTGCCAGCTTGCACAGTCTCTTAACCCTTGAGTAAGGACCAATAGAGTCATCAAAAACAAAGTCCCACAGAACTCGAATCCAGGACCGGTGATGTGGGAGGTTATCATAATATTCCGCTGCAATCTTCTTCACCTGGAAGAAGAAGAGAGAGAACAAGCTGTTTAGTTGCACAGAATCAGATGTGTTTCAGCCTTCACATTCAGATCTGATAGCACAGCCGTAACCTGAAGTTACCTGTTATTGCTTGTGAGCTTCTGAAGTTCAGCCAAATGGGATGTAGTTAAATGCATTTAGATACTTGCAGATTTCTGATGCAAGTTTTGCCTCACAGTGTCAGAATTTGAAAGATGTGGGATCGCTGCCTTCAGTCAGAACTATTTTGTCTCATTTTGGAAGTGGTGGGATCTCCACAGTGAGATGCCTCATCCACCTAATCAATTGCCAAAGACTCCAACACACTGTATTTAAAGCCCTGTTTGCCACTTGTAATAGTCTTCTGTTGAGGGTTCTGGGTAAGAGAGAATTACCAATTGAGAAAATACCAGATACAGTCTTGCCTACACTTCATTTTCTTCCCTCCATTTTGCTACTGTGATGCAAATCCAAGACAGGTTCCTCCAGCAGGCAGAGGAAATCACAGGGATGGTCTGTTCTCCTCAGTTTGGCATTAAAAATGCTGCAAGATTCATTGGTAGATCATAAATCTAATAAAATTTCATCCCTGTTACAAATCCCCAAATCTTAAGACTGCTGCCATCTGAGAAGCACTGTGCATCATTGGAGTGGTGCTGGTAGTGGGAGTAAGGCCAGAACCAGAGGACAAAGAGGTTTCAAAGCTGGCAGGTTCAGGGGACTATGAGGATTCCCAAGTTATCAGTTATTAGTTATTATTCCTGCTCCACCAAGATGCTCTGCTTTTTGAACACACAAAGCAGCAGTCTGTTAACTATCGTACACTTGCACCTAATTGCTTGGGCATGGTTTTACTGCAGCTCCACCTCCTAGACAAACAAAGCTGTAGAATAGAGTAGTTTGTCTTGCTGGACAGCGTGACTTCTCTCTTTAAAAACCCAGCAGAATTTTAAAGCCAGATATGACGAGCACAGTGCAGAGTTCCAGTGAAGACAAAAAGGGTTACAGAGAAACTGTCACCCTGCAGGAAGGTCTCATCAGCACCCGAGGTGTAATGGTGGAATCTTAACACAGAATTGTGACTGCTTGTGAAAAGGTAAGAATCCCAGCAAAAGTTAAATTATAAGCCAGTATGGCTCACTGCTAATTACGTCATCAATTCAGCTTCCTAGCAGACACTCCTCTGTGAGGTAGGTTGGGTAACATACAAGAGTCATTAAGAACCTCTGCCCCTGTGCACTCCTTGTGCTGGTGGCATGGTAGTGCTGTGCTGGACATGGAAGATTCAGTTCAGGTCTGACTGTATTCTGTCTTTCACTGAATACCTCTGACTTCCTAATAATTCCCTCTATCCTGCTTTAAGGCGTTACTTTGTACTTCAAAGTAATTTATTTTCCGTGGGATTCAGACAATATCAGGATTTCTCCTTAAAGGTATTTGTTAATGACTGGAAGAAAGGTGACTTCCAGGCACCAGGTAACATCTCTGGAGATGCAGATTTAGTTCCCTGTGCTCCTTCTGTAACCACAGAAATAATTTATCCTGGGTTTATATCCTCCTTTTCCCAGGTGGCAAAAGGAATAGCCAGTAAATTAGAGGGAGCACTATTTTAACATTAAGCTCCCTTGAATGAAGGCCACTCAGGAGGCGTGATGCAAACACAAAGGGAGTCTCAGATACCCAGTCCCAAAAGCTTCACTACAGCTCTGACATGGTCATTCCCTAGCATACTGCTGCTTGGACCTTCCCTCCTACCTCCATTTTAGAAGTTCTGCCTGAATTTTGACTTTCAACAGTAATTCAGCCCTCACCTATGCTAGTCAAGTTCATATGGTGAGTCTACCATTCCCCTCCTCTCCAAAGCCCCCATATATTTCTTGCCTTCTGAACCAGACATGTTTTCTCAGCTATTAACATTAGTGTGCAGAGCTCTTGATGTTAAATTCTGACCACTACAAGAGCTTCAGCTTCATGAAGTGTTTCTGTATTGCCCCTTGGAAGTGGAAGGCTGGAAATCCGTAGGAACCAATTCACTTCCTAGGAACAATGTCTCAGGCAGCAGCTGTGTCCTCTGGCTCCACAAGCTAACTAAAAATGACCCCAGTGACAATGTAGGAAAAAATGGCTCAGAGAAGAGGCCAATAAACAGCCTGCCTACATTCAGCCCAATAGTTTCTGCAAACATGAGCAGCAGTGTAGTCTGGACATACTTGTGAAGAGCTAAGGTGAACACAACATGTATGTCTGAAAACTTGCACTTCAATATATTCCATACACATATCGTGCAGTTGTATTACAGATTTAAAACAGGCACCTAGAATACAAGTATTCTTTGACAATTAAGATGATTAATCAAAATACCCAGCAGTAAATTTTAAAGGAGATCCTACAGACCATATGCTGGAGGCAGCCATGGCTGGCAAGCTGCTGGCCAGCATCAGGTGGTGGAGCAGTTGTTTGTTCAGCAAGGGTACCTGTTCAGTGCCTTCCCACAGAGTATGGTGGTAGCTCATTTTGAATGAGGAGGTCACAAGAGATGACCAGGGGTTTGCACTGGAGTGTGTCACCCCAGATCAGCAGTAGGACAGTGATTCACACCTACATGAAGTGTTTCCTGGCTCTGCTTGGCTTCGTGTCCAGCAGCACCTTGTGCAGGAAGGCAGGCACCACTTGCACCACTGGCAAGGTTCCTGTGCTCTGGGCAGGACAACTGTATGAAATGTTCAGAAACACTGGAGAAGAGAGGGTAAAGTGCAGTAAGGATTGGAGAAAAAATTTAATGAATGCAGTTAGAGGGAGGACTTCTGAAGGATTTTCTTATGGAAAAGACAAGGAAATTTGTTCCCATTTTGCTATCATGTGGCAGAAAAGAATTTTAAAAGTGGTTTCTCTTGTATAATGGATCCGCAAAAGTTTCCCAACAAAAACGTCTCATTTGTTGTAATTTCTTTCAGCATCTCTGTAGGTAAAACAGAATTATCTCCTTATCTACCAGAAAATCTGGGTGGTGGGAGGACAGAAAGTACTTGGGGTTTAATGCAAATTCCCTTTTAAATGCAATATCATATAAGGAGTGGCTGAGGAAGATGCTGTTTGTTTAGCCTGAAGAAAAGGAGGCTCAAGGGAGACTTTATCACTGTCTGCAACTACCTGAAAGGATGTTGTAGCAAGGTGGGGGTTGCCCTCTTCTCCCAGGCAACCAGCAACAGGACAAGAGGAAATGGCCTCAAGCTGTTTCAGAGGAGGTTCAAGCTGGATATCAGGAAGAATTTCTTTGCTGAAAAAGTTCTCAAGCATTGGAACAGGCTGGCCAGGGAAGTGGTGGAGTCACCATCCCTGGAACTGTTCAAGAAATGACTTGATGTGGCACTAAGTGCTACAGTTTAGTTGATATGGTGATATTCAGTCCAAGTTTGGACTCAATGATCTTGGAGATCTTTTCTAACCTTAAGGATTCTATGATTCTATGATTTTATATCTATTAAGTATGTTTGAGGCTGGAAGAGTCACCGTTTGTGTCAGATTCTGGGTGCAGTACAAAACCTGAGGATGGTAGTTTTCAGGTAGCAAGTGTTGCAGCCAGATCCTAGATTGTCTTAAAAGAGGATGGCACTGTGACAAAGTATTCCTAAATCCTGCTTCTCAAGCTCTCCGTATTGTACTGTAGATGGTCCCTTTCCTTCAGTTCCTCCCACCCTTCTTCCTTACAGAACCCCAATCCTACTCCATCATATCTGATAGGCACAAAAGTTAAACCCAGCCTAGTATTTCGGCACAGTTGTTACAGACTCTTTGTCCTGGGGCTATACAGAAACTAGAGATCCTTACAACATGAAACTGCAGAATTATGTTTAGAATTCTAGAAGGCATATTACAGGAGTTCCCTCTACAGTTCTATAACCCCACCAGGGGCTGGGGGTTCACTCAAGCCAGCCCTCCTGGCCATTGCAGGGTTAATGAAATCTGCAATTCAAACCCAGCACATCTACCATGTTTTCCAGTCTTGTCTGTCCAATAAATCTGGTTTCATACCATGTCTTTTCCTTTTCCCACAAGCTTAATGAGTAACTAGTTTGCCTCTGGTAACACTGCCACTTTTATTGCAGCTTCTAGGATCAGTACTGAGTTCCTCCTCCGCCTCCAATCTCCTGTCTCCATAAGTATATTCAATCCTTCATATAATGAAGAATGGATCTTTTGGTAAATAATGCAATGTTTTATAGTTATAAAGCTTCATGCAAAGACTAAACTAGTTCTAAGTCTATAGGGGTGGGTTTTTTTAGAGCAGGTCCTTCATTACCATGTTAAATTTCATGGTCTCTTGTGTAATCTCTTATTATACTAGAGAGACAATTTCTTACTGCACACCCATGTCACTCATCTTTAATATCCATAAGCTTATGAGAGCAGCCTAATTCTTCCTCTTTCAAATCTGTCATACTCCTAGGGTAAAGGTCTTTCCAGCAGCAAACACATTACTCAGACTGTTCTGAATGACACACCTGTGACAAAGGACAAAGCTGAATTTCCTTTCTTGATAAGCAAGCTGAAGAGCTAGTTACTTTCCAAGATTAAGATCCAGTTATTCTCTAATCCCATTTCTCCCCTGCTCTCAATCATGAAGGAACCAAATAAAGATCTTTATTCCACTTTCTACTTGTCAATGATTAAAAATAAAAATAGCCTCACCAAGAGGTCATCCATATTACACAATTCAATTATTACAAGTCCAAGTGCCTAAAAGACAAGATCTGAGTGAAGAATTTGCTGGGAGGTTAAGCAGTGTAGAGCAAGGTGAGGTTTTTTACCCGTTATGAAGTTCAAGGTTGAAAGTTAAGCAGCAAGGATCTGTTTCCTTTTTTCTTTCCTCCAAAGAGGTGGAGATTTTTTTTTTCTCATTTTGCAGAAAAGAGTAATCAACTTATTTTAATGGACAAAGGATTTTCTACAGTAACTGTTTTGCCAAAGAATTTTCACTTTTTGATAGAATATTTAACTATAATTAATCACTTGTCAAATACTCCAAGTTTTCAATATAATTCTAGAAGGCAACAGTGATTGACAAGTCTGGTGTGTCCTCCACCAGCAGGACAAGCCTCTCTTTCTCCAAAGAGCAAAACACACATGAACATAAGCCCATGAAATTCAACTAGTAGCTCTATCTTCTTTACATGGGAGGGCAGATACTTCCAGCTGCTGTACTGCCTCAAGGAATTAGGCTGAACTATTTGTAGTGTGGGTGGAGAAGAGCTTTTCAGGTCTCAGTCAGGTCTGGAGCAACAGTCCCAGCAAGTTCAATTAGTCACTCACCTCCCTTGTGCAGGATACAGAGCTAACCTTCTTCTCTTTCTCTATTTACATTTTGGTAATCTAAGGATCTAAGCCTATCTGATAAGTCTGAACATTTGAAACTAAAGCTAAGCCCATGCACTTCCCAGCTGAACTATCAGGTGTATCAGTGATGGGAGTGCCTGACAGGAGAACTTCACATCTGAGTGTGGGCTGCTGTACCAGCTGCTCTGTGCCTGGCCAGGAACAGGCAGCTCATCCAGGACAGACCTCCAGCAACAAAGAACTGCAGGCACTATAGAGGCTTCCCACTCTCTTCTACACCACACGAAAACCTCCCCTTGATTTGAATCTCCTCTCAGACAGCATTTCTGTGATGAAGAACATTACCCCGTACAGCAGGGTTTGCCTGGATATACCATCATACAAGTTGTACATCCTATTCAGTAGCGGGGAGGTCACAGCCACTGAACCTCAGACTCCCCAGCTCTACCTCCACCTCATGAGGATACTGCAGTAGTAGTCCCCAACTTTGCATCAGCCCAGAGACAGAAGATGTTTCCTTCCTACCATACCAGAGAATTTATATGCAGGAGTAATCCGAAGTCACATACCTCTAATCCTGTGAGCACCTGCTGTGGAACCCTTGTATTAAAACCCACAAGAGTAGCTACATACCTGGAGGGAGATTGAAAAGCTTTCCTAGACACCTGGGCTTTGCAAATTTGATTCCCACAGCTGATAAAACATAGGCAAAAAGGGGTTTGCCTTTCAAAGGAGGAAAGCCACAGCACTTTCCCAACGACAGACCAGGCCTCTTCAGTTTCTGTGGGTGGGGCAGCAGAGCTAAAACGAGTCACGGAGAGCAGGGCTTTGTTTTCTAGTGCCATTTGTGTCAGGCTGGAACATGCCCCAATTCTTACGTCATCTCAAAAATAGAAAAGCTTCTCTTTGATGTTAATCAAGCAATATAGGTAGCAGATTGATTATTAGACAAATTTCAACTAGTAATTGCCACCTGTCTCCCTTTAGATGGGCCTTTAAACTTTCAGAGTTGCAACTTCTTGGCTGAGAGATGTAAATGGAGAAATTTAGAGCCTTGTTGGAGGATTTTATCATGCAAAAAGTATTTCTCAAGCCCTCTGAGGGTCAGATGTTCTAGTTTGCATCAAATAAACTAAATATTACAGCAGTTTGACAACCATTTCTCTCAATCTCTGGCTTAAAATTAATTAGAAACAAATCAAAAAAGCTTTCTTCTTTTTTTTCCTTTTTTTTTCTTAAACTGATCAATTGCTATGATTTGGAGTGTTTTCTTTGGGGCAGTTTAGAAGTTTTTATCAAAATCTAACTCATGCATACTTATGCCACACTTACCATGGGCAATCTGCATCCAGGAATGCTGGGGAAGTCATGATGCTCCATGTGGTATCCTACATTAAAGGTGAGCCAGTTCAGAGGTCCATAATAAGAGTATGTCTCATACCCTTTTAAGAACATGTAGTGTTCTGCTATGAAGTGCCCAGAAATGGGATGTAAACCCAAGCAAAGAAATGTACCTGCTATTAAATAAATAACAGGTTTGAGTCCCCAAAGGTTGTAAATGATTAGGTCTACAGAAAACTGTACAAGAGCATTGAAAACTTCCATCTGTGTAATCGCTTTGGGGTTCACATACAGTGGCCTCAGACTGTAGAACAGAGGTTGGAGGAAAAGCCAAAGCAGTTTCCGAAGGGGTGTACAGAAAAACCAGCCTTCAAAGTCTGTGGGAATGTCCACATCCAAGCTGTCCCCTCCCAGGTACCGGTGATGGTCGATGTGGTATTTCTTGAAGGAGGCAGAGTAAGGGATGCCAATCGGCAAGTTGGCAAAGACTGCGAACCACCGGTTCCACTTGGCCTGCTTGTTCCCAAAGGCGACGTTGTGTGAAATATCATGGATGGCTAAGGTCAGCGAATGGTTGATGCAACCCCCAAAACCATAAGCCCAGAAGAAAATCCATTTCCAAGATAAATCTTTCACCAGGTAGCATGCCAGAAGCTGCACGAAAACCATTCCAGATACAATCCACTTCAAATGTGGATCAGGTCCCATCAGAGTCTTGATCTCCGGATACTTTGCTAAAGGAAAAAATGCAGAGAAAAACTTCAGTAAATCACGGTTAGGTAAACACAATCACCACTGGGACTCTCTGTTTTTATCACACTGTATTTGAGGTTCTAGTTTTATGAAATGGTAATTCAAAAGTAGAGTTGCCACTATAATAAAGGCTTTACTAACATATGGGCTCTATTCCCACTTCCAGCATCATGTCCAAATGTGATTGATATCAATATATATAGATATATACAGACATATAAAAAAAATACCCTGATGGTCAACCTGTGGCATCATGTGCCTTCACCACAATGAGTATTGCTTCACATTATTAGTATGCCAAAACCCACATGATTTAAGTGCTAAGAAGCACCTTCTGTCAAGTTTATTATTTCCTTTTGTATTTTGCTCAGATCAGATTTTTCTTCCACAAAAGGGATACAACTGCCTTCTTCATAACCCTTTTCACACTGCTGCTTCAAACATATTAGCAGAGGACAGAGAGCCAAGCAACAGGCTCGCCAGGTTTTGCTCTGTGGTTAGATGACAAATGCAGCATTTAAAAAAAAATTCCTAATTATTTGAGTGTTTACCAGTGCTCACAACACGTACAACCCTTCACACATGGTAACATCACAATAAAGTCAGTAATATTATCAGGATTTTGTAAGACACAGAAAATTTTTCTCTGTTCTCATTCCTCGGCCTGTTCCCAAGTCACATACCACAACCAGGCATAAAAGCCACAAGATAATCACACAACAGCTTCATGAGGCCTCACAACTACTGCAGTGTCAGAGAGACATGGGCTAGACTTGCCAGGTCTGACTCACATGAGGCCAGGACTAGCTTACTTATCTTTGGTTCTAGCAATCATTCATCTTCCTTTTAAAAGAAAGAAAAGACAGAGTACAGCTTACCCTCTAGGTGCTGTTCATTGATACACATGTCCTCTTTACAAATCCACACTCTCACTTCTAGTATTAACTTGCACATAATTTTTTCCACTGTTTTATGGCTTTTACCTACCTACTGACCTCCCTCCTTTAACTCATACTCTGCATTTCTCAAAAATTACAGCTTACACAGATAAGTGCGTAGACAAGTCACTCGCTCTGAACCCTGAGGTTACACAGTGTGTCCTGTAAGTTTGATAGGCCTGTTTTAAGAATAGAAAAGTAAACATCATCTGAGTGTCACAGTATAACACCAATGCAATAAAATCAGATTACAATGACCAGCATCTATGCAGCTGTATATGCTATAAACAAATGCTGGAGACAACACATGTAGTTTATGTGACCTTGAAAGCAGTGGCAGGTATGGAGTGCTGAATGCAGAGAAGGCTTTTGTAAAAGTGAAGCCTGAGAAGTTTGATGAAGTTTCAGAGAGATGAAGTACTACTTAAGGAAGTAGATTGATATGGTCATGCTTTGTAACCATTCCAACAACTTTTGAGCCTGTTAGCCAGCTTCACCTCAGCGTGACAGAGATTAGGGACAATAAAGACCAGACAAGTGCTGTGGAAGATGGTGAGAAAAGAGATATTCCCAATTCTTCTTGTGAGGACAAGGGAGCCAATTCACCATGAGGAATAATCAGGCAAAAGAGAAATTTTTCTAAGTGGGGGAAAATCTCTAGTAAAAGTTCGTATCTTTCTAAAGTCAGTCAAATTTTTTTGATAAAAATCTCAGGAAAGTCCAAAGGGTTTCTGTTTTGCTTTCATTCTTATTTTCACAGTTTTCTAAAATTATAGTGTTCACACTAGAAAAATTAACATGCTACAAATTGTTCCCTAGTACCTGAATATGTACCAAAATTCTACATGAAGTGCTGCTTATTCAAAGTCCACTCTAAAGAATAACTTGATATATTGACCTGGTCAGAAAGACTGTTAAAGATATGCAATTTTATATAGCTTAATCTCCTGCTTAGGGGCCTCTGTCCAGAACCCAGAAAACTCTTTAATAAATCAAACCACCTCAATTGTTCAGTTGCACAGCTGGTTACTGAAGTGAAAAAAGGAGATGAAGAAATGTAAAACAACCAGATCTGGTGGTCAGCTTGGTCAAATTAAGGCTATATGGTCTTAAACTCTGCCAGGGGAGGTTTAGGTTAGATATTAGGAAGAAATTCTTTACAGGGAGGGTAATCAGGCATTGGAACGGGCTGCCCAGGGAAGTGGTGGATTCTCCATCCCTGGAGGTTTTTAAGATGAGACTGGATGTGGCACTTAGTGCCATGGTCTAGTAACCGTGGTGGTAGTGGATCAAGGGTTGGACTTGATCTCAGAGGTCCCTTCCAACCCAGCTGATTCTATAATTCTATATTCACCAAAAAAAAAAAAAAAAAATTAATGGGATGGGAAAATTCCTTAGAGATGCTTTATATTGTCATTTGAGAATAATGGAAGTTTTTGACCTATTTCTTTCTTTAGCAGTCAACAAGGACCACAGATTCCATTTAAGAGGTTTCAGAGCAGTTGCTGCCAACAGGCAGCAACAGTGTGTGCAGGCAGCAGTGCAGGCAGGTTGCATTTGTCACAGGTGACAGCTATTAAGTAACTTGCTAGGGTTTAATATTAAATTCAACACATGATTAACTCCTCTCCAACAGTTAATCTTTGCATACTAGTCAAACCACAGTAGTGTGGCTATTTATCACTAATACTGATAAACCTGTCCCATCTCCATGGCATGGAGAGACCTCAGGTTTCTCCCCATGAAGAAATCATGGCTTGGGCAGGGGTGTGGTGCTCGTAAGCTCACTGAGGCTAAAAGCCCTGCTGGTGGAGTAGCCTGCCAAAGATCTGTTCATTCAGAAGTGCTTCAAATGCAGAATGTTGAATACTGACCCTGTATAGACTTGAGGCTAAGCACTCCTCAGTGAGACACATTTAGTCTCAGATTAAGTGATCCTGATGACTGGAGTTTATGTATAACGTACTGACACAAAGATGCAATAACACAAATATTTATCTCCTTTTTCCCTCATGTTCATGCCTTGCAGTTAGCTGACAGACTGTACAAACCAGACATAACTCATCTGCACATCAAAAAGGAGAGAATCAGAGGCAGGGTTACTGGCAGTGCTGAACCAGGAGGCACAAAGGACTATCAGACCTCTGGCAGCCAGCCAGTAAAGACCACCTTTGTCTTCTACACATTGCACTTTGCAAAGTAAACAGACACCTACTCCCCAGTCTTGAGACTGCTAGAGTTTCACACGAGGAAGCATCTGAACGGAGCTTCTCATCATGCTGCTCTTTCCTGAATTGCTTCCATTTTGGTCTTCCTGAGCACTTTTCCATTCTAAGAATGATGAGCTTCTATATGGCCAGAGTCCATTGCTTCCCAACAAGCACCATGGCAGGGCTAAAACATGATGTAATCTAGAGCTAACTCTTCATTATGCAAAATCATGGCGTGGAGAGGACACAGAAAGAGGATATAAAAAAAACAACCTCATGACTCAGCCCTTCTAGATAAGGCAATTGGAGTTCATGTGTGCACACATGACCTGGGACAGGCCAGACACCCACAAATTTATATGACTATATAGGACCAGGGTTTGCCCTTTAGAGTTTGATGAGAACAGCAGAGCTCCAGCTACTCTAGTGTCTACATGGCACATTTTCCAGCCTCTGGCTTATTGAGAAAGTCCATTAGCTCAGCCTGGCAGACAGTTTATCCACATGTGCTGCTTCTAGTTGTCCAGACAGATCCATTGTACTGTCTTTTGTAGGGTGGGGATACTGGTGTAGATATACAGCAGGACTTTTCTGTCTCCCAGGTCAGCACACTGCAAAAGCAGCATGGGAACTTTAGTAGAGAAGGTAAGTGTAGTTAATAATTCTGCTCAGCCACCTCCACAGTCTCTATACATGACCTCAGAGCAGCTGAAAGCTATTCTATGATGATGAAAGACATTTCCCACTTGTACAACAGTGTGGATGAAAGAACAGCAGTCAAGAGAGAATAAATGCTGCAAGAATATTTTCAGAAGCGTTCACAATTCTGAAACAATCCATTTACTGAATTAACATTTCAGAGAGATCACTCCACTGTTGTGTGTAAGCATCAGTCACCTTTCTAGAGGCAGGTCACACTCAGCACAAGTTTCTAAACTGACAAATTAGTCTGATTGCATATTTTTAGCTTGATATTTTTCTCTGGAGATCCAGGAACACTCACCATAGCCCTACTGTGATCCTCAGTTAGTGCTGGATCAGTTGTTCCTGGAGAGGCCATTGGTTGCCAGGTCCTGGTGTTCCTCCTCTTCAGGAGACAGCAAATATCTTGTTCTGAACCCTCACTCAATCTCCATGCTACTGACACTGTTCCTGAGGTAACTCAGAAGAGCCCCAGTGATGGTACCAAACACAGTTTCTTGTTGATGTGACATCACATACTTTTTACTTGCACATTTTGACGTACATGGGATTTGGAAGTGAACAAGAGCAGGAGCTTTCCATAAAGACAGTGATAGAGGTTTAAAGGAGCAGCAGCCTTGCCTACATCCACAAGAAGCTAGTAATAACAAGAGAAGAAATTTAATTTCTTGATTTTCCTTTATTTTGACCACAAGTGCAACATACAGATATAGTCAAAGTGGAGATACCATTCAGTATAAGGCACTTAGGAGGTCTGTTAAAGAGAAGAGGAAAAAAAAAAATCTCTGTGACACTGCTGTCCTGGACTATGTTCTGTTGACTATGAGTCCCTGCCAGAACAAATAAGAGACACCAGGCACAGGATGTAAGCTTTACTACCCCATGTCCTATACTGGAGCTGATATTTGTACCAAAAAAATTAACAAACCAAAAGAAGACAGTTTACTGACAGGACCATGTTTTGCCTCATAACAGCTCAGCTCGTGAACATGTTCATAAACAGCACAGCACACCTGAGTCCTCAGTGAAAGACATGGAACTGTTGGAGCAGGTCCAGAGGAGGGCCACAAAAATTGTCAGAGGGCTGGAGAACCTCTCCTGTAAGGAAAAGCTGAGAGAGTTAAGAATTGAGGCTCTACCACCTGGAGAGGTGAAAGCTCTAGGAAGACCTTATTGCCTTTTAATATTTAGAGGGGGCTTATAAGAAAGATAGGGACTGACTTTTTAGTAGGGCTTGTTGCAATAGGACAAGGGTTTTGAACTAAAGGAGGAGAGATTCAGTCTAGACATGAGGAAGAAATTTTTTACAATGAGGGCAGTGAAACCCTGGCATAGGTTGCCCAGGGAGGTGGTGGATGCCCTGTCCTAGGAAACATTCAAGACCAGGTCAGATGGGGCTCTGGGCAACCTGATCTAGCTGAAGACATCCCTGCTCATTGCAAGGGGGTTGGACTAGGGGACTTTTAAAGGTCCTTTCCAACTGAAACTATTCTATGATTAATTCAAACCATACATGGGCCAAGACACAGGACACACAGAGGACAACAGGCATGACAAAAGCTTCTGGCTCTGTATAGTCTCCTAATCTCTCCAGTAGGCTGGAGAGAAACCTTTTTTCCCACCTAATTACACTGAAGTTTTATATATCCACTGTGCAAGGAAAAATGTCTTAATCTTGTACTTGCCAACCACAAGCCTCTGAATTGCTTAGTGCTGGCTGGTCCAAGGGGCTCACTCAGAAGTGCCACCAGAGGGAAAGTACCCAGTGGTGCCACACTGCTGGTGTCAACAGAGATGGATGATGTCAGCACATCACTATGTCAGCACATCACTATGACAGTAGCTATAACCTTGCTTACACTTGTTTGGTAGCTAGTTCAGAGGAAAGGGATGTAGGAATGCTAGGAAGAGGACTTCCAGCTGCCTCTGAAACAACAACCCACAATATGGAGTAGGCTGAAGCCTTTGGTTACACAATACATTTTCAACAGAGGACTACAAATGCCTAAACCAGTGACTTTCTGCTCATGTGATTTATTTCATAGGTGATGCCCACAGGGAATTGGCATGAGCACTGAGATAGCAGCTATTCTGGATGTGCCTGTCAGAGAACAAGCACATCAGTGGCAGCACTGAGCCCACATACTGCAGAATAAAGGGGAAACAAACTCCGTTTCTTTGCCAGAAGCACATGTAATTGAGAGTTTTCATTTAAGCTAAGGAGAGATGCCTATGCATATTTCAGTAGGTACAATTTAATCAGAATTTTCATAAATGTGAGGTTTGAATAGGTAACAGAAGAGACAGCTGAAAGAAATAGCAGATTAAATAAGGCAGAGCTGGAAGCTATACTCAGACCAGATAACTGCTAAAATAAAATGTATTTTTTGCTTTTTTTTATTGTGTTTTACCCCTCCTCATAGGGTAACATCTCAGCCTTCCTACAGAATAAAGCACATATAAAATGCTTGCACCATCTCCACTCCAAAATAACTTGGCAAAGAATTAATTATATAATTATGAATTATTCTTATATGTCAGATCATATTCAGGTGTTCCTGGTCTACCCTGAGCAACAGTGAGTAAGCCCTCATCCTCAGCAGCAAACAAGTGCTTCCCTAAGGATCCTGTGAGGCAAGACATTTTCTGACCAACCTACAGTAATTTTAAAAAGTTAGATCCAACCCATGGCACAAATATGATCTCACACTTCCCATGTCACAACATACTGCTCATTGCTTACATTTGGGAAACTGTTTGCAGGTGAAATAAGCATACATTTTGTGCTTATGGTGTTACCTGCATCTGAGCAATGCTTTTTTCATCTCTCAAGAGTGACAAATCACCAATACTTCCCACTGTGCAAGACTATAGTTCTTCAAGTGTTTTGATCCAAAAAATCCTTACTGATGCTAGAAATCCTATTTCTACTAAAAGTAGATATCTCTTCTGTGTTGTACCCTATATCTCCCTCTAATAGCATTTTTGTAACTATACAGAAAGACTAAGCAGCTCTAGATGAAGAAAACCTTTCTTCCATCAGGAAGTTTTTAGCCAGGTCTTTCCCTAACAGAGCTCACTGCAGCATTACACAAACCTCAGCCCTGACACCAGGCAGTAACAGGCTTTTCATAACCAAGAGGGCGAGAGAATAGCAATGAAACAGTTCCATTTCATAAACTGAAAGGCGTGAATAACGTGTTCAGGAACACGTACAATGTGATGTGGGTCGAAGTGCCAGCTTGGCAAGGGACCTCCCCTGTAACTTAGAAGCAGTTGGCACCTAGACAGTACCAAACACAAGCTACATTTTAATACCTAGATTCTAAGAGTAAGATACAACAAAGAGATAACAGAGAAAGGATTACCTCTCCCTTGCACAAAACCTTGATCTATTTGCTGGTATAATTATAACCATTAGGAATCACACCTCTGGTAGGTTCATCTAGTGCAACAAAGTCCTGCCACAAGCTACCTCCCAGCCAGCCCAGTTGATAAACACAGCTCACAGCTCTGCAGCTCAACTGGAACAAGGTGCCCACAGGAGCTGTGGATGGCTCATCCCTCTTAAGTGTTCTAGGTCAGGTTGGATGGGGCTTTTAGCAACCTCACCTTGTGAAAGATGTCCCTGCCCTTGGCAGGGAGATTGGACTCACAGAGTTCTCCTTCAGACACACGTTGTCACTGACTACAAAAGTCTTACAGACACCTAGGCTACTAAGTCACAACTTTGTGATGGACCATTTTTACCTCTCAGTTGTTCTATCGGAACATTGAGGCAACAACCCAAAGAAAGAAACTGCCCTACGTGTTTGTCAGTTTGCTCATTTTATTTTTCTTAACAGATAATTTCCACTTGCATTTAAATCCAACTAGCCATGCCTGAGAGAGACCAACATTTCAGAAAGCTGCAGCATAAACAGAGAACAATCAAGTTTCAGTGCTTAGCAACTAAATCATTAACCTATTTGGAGGGAAATACTTCCTTTACCAGCATGGAATGTTGTCCCCAAGGCATTGCTGTATAAAACAACAGAAAATACATGGACTTTTACAGATATGTGTTCATATGCATGTAAGATTCTTACAGTGTTCTCCAGCTCAATGGACACTAGACATTTTGATAAGTACATACTTTGGGTACTAGGGGTTTGCTGATCCTCAGGCTTTGAATAATACAGTGAGGACCATGACACCAGCATCATAGAGGATACCATGACAGCTTCAGTAACTTTTGGTAACATTTTGGTATCATGACACTATCCATTCTGCCTTGATTGTTCTGCCCACATCTTTCATGTCTCTCTTCCCATGTTGTATTTCTCTATTCCCCTCCTTCTGCTCCCACAGCTGGGGCAGCGGGGGCTGCAAGGATGGACCTTGATTCCAATCACTTGTTCTGAACCCAGAGGAGAGGTGGGTAAAACCTCTGCAAGTGTGCAGTTGAAAGATCCTAAGAGTTTGTTGCAGCAAGGGTAAGGGAGCCCAAGCACTCTTTACATAATACAACTTCATTGTGATCTGCAGTCCCCATTCTACAGCACAACCAGAAAAGCAAGAGATTAGTAAGGGTAGAGACCCACCATAGATACTTCTACCCACAGCTCACCAAAATGTAGTGCCCTTGACTAAAAGGATGAGTAGCACATCAAGAAGCATCATTTTCTATAATGATATCATTTGACTCTCTACCTTGATTACATAGTAAAATAATTATTATTTTCCTGGGTGTAATTCAAACCTGTACCAGGATATTCCACTGGTGCAACTATACTGGAAATATTTTTGTAATTTAGATTAATCCTGGGTTAATCTATGAGATTGTGGAGGACTTAAAATACTGCACCTAATTAGCATATACCCTATGCATACGCACCCTGAGCTGCTACTCAGCCACAAGTTTTCCAGTGCCCTTCTTTATAAAAGTACTTTAAAAACTTTATCCTACTCATTAGAGGGGGGAAAAAACAGAACAACCGACCCACCCAAATAAAAACTGAGGGAAAAAAAATAAAAATTTTATTTATTAATAAAAGGTTGGAAATGTATTTTCAGGAGACATGCAACAATACTCTGCAACAATTCTGAACTATCAATTCTTCTCTGAAACGATCTTCAGAATAGCCCAAAGCCCCAAAGTAGAATAAACCTCCCGACCCAACACACTCCTGTGCGCAGTTAACACGAAAATACAGACGTGCACCTTGTCCCTGACAAGCCGCGGGAGACTTGCGATTGTTCTCTAGCAAACCTCACCCACATACCCGTTGACTTTATTGCACTCCCAAGACACTGGGAACAAGTGCCTTCGGGAGGGCTCCCAGCCCGCAGTCCGGGCAGACTGGGAAGGGCTGGCGCCTGCCGGGATCCCCCGACGGCAGCCAGGGCACGGCGCGGGCAGGTGGGCGCAGCTCTGCCGCTCCGGTGAGCCGGCTTACCGCTGCCTCCGGAAGGCAGAGAGCCGGGGGAGAGCTGAGCCCCTCGGGGGAAACACCCCTCCGAGCCCACCGGGCCGTAGCTCTCCACAGCCTGGACACCCGCCCCGAGCCGGTCTCGGTACCGACACAGGCGGACCCGGCGCCGATCCCCCGCCCCACCCGCCCCGTCCCGGAGCGCAGCCCTGCCCGCCCCGCCGGCGGCCGCTCCCGAGCGCCCCGGCGTACCCAGGATCTCCTTCCTGCGCTGCGTATGGGGCTGCTCCGTGTAGACCCACTCGAAGTCCTCACGGGTGACGCGGTTCCCCATAGCTCCCGCTGCGCCCCGCGCTGCGCTGCCCTTATAGATCTGCGCTGCTCTTATAGCTCTGCGCTGCTCTTATAGCTCCGCGCCCAGGAGGGGCGGCTCCCCTGCCCGCCGCCGCCCCGCAGGTAGGCACTGGGGCTGCGGCTTCGCCCGGGTGTGCAGGAGCCGCGGGAGCTGCACGGCCCCGCTGTGGTGTGCAAGGGAACCCGGGAGAGAGAGGATGCTTCGGGGCTGGCTCTGGGTGCAGCGGACGGACGGCCGAGGTTCGCTCTGCTGCAGGGACCTCAAAGGCAGGCGGGAGAGGTGTGGGGGGTGGGTGGGCGTGTTCGCAGGGCAGCAGGTTCCCCATCGTGCTGCTGCCACCACCGGAGCTCAGCACAGCCACTGCATCCATCCCCGCCTGGGACGGCTTCAGAGCAAAAGGGGAACTGCAGCGCTGCAGGTCCCCAGGCGTTTCCAGACGTGGCTTTTGGAAAGCAAAGGTAGTCCAAACTCCATAAACCCGGAGATATGGCCCTAAGCAGAACGTGGCTTAGGGCAAAGCCCAGCTGTGTGAGCTCCTCCCAGGGGTGGAAGACCTGGGACGACACAAATGCGACCAACGCCTGACACACATTTCCTTGCCGCTCTGACAAATCTTCATGAGCTGTCCCGGTAGAATCCAGCCCTTGGCTGTGTCACACTTCACCCCTACAGCTCTGCGGCCCATTTCCCAGGTACCGTCCCTGCTGGAGTAGCAGGAAATCACACTGCTCCCTTGGTAACAAAGCCAGGCAAAGGACTAGCTAACCTTAAAACTGACATAACCTTACTTACCTCTCTAGTCATTCTGATTCACAGGCAGAGTTACACATATTATATAGAGATGTTTTTCTACACACACGCAACCCAAAATTAAAGTGCTGCCCTTGTTCCCACTATGTTCTTTTGCAAGTCCATACCTGACCTACTGTCCATCTTCACTCACTATCCCTGTCATTAGTCCTTCCATCAACAACATCACATGTGGATCAGCTGCACTGTTGTTTCATTCTGTTTCAATATGAATGTCTCTAACATCCTTCGCAGCCTCTTACCCTTAAAAAATGCCTATCACAGCTGGCAGTTAAAAGGGGGGGGAAAGCAGCCTTGAAAATGTGAAATGTCAAAACAACAACAACCAAACAATCTACAAACCCAAAACGCCATAGGAGGCTTTTTTGAGTTTTAAAAACTCAAAAGTTTTTAAAGTTTTTAAAGTTTTTAAAAGTTTTTAAAGTTTTTAAAGTTTTTAGACCATTTTTCCCTGAAATGGTCTAAATGTAAACCCCTGAATAATTAAAGGTCCAAAGCATTTTGAGTGGAAGGACTATGGTGTAAAGGAAAGCAGCTTTACCCACAGCAGGAGCAGGATTTTAACCACTTTACTGTTACAGGTCAGCTCTCTGTAAGAGCAATGGTTTTTTCACCATTACTCCAGCACGAGGCTGATGCTCTCCCACAAAGTTGCAGGGTCCAACCCAGGTAATGGACTATTAATCCAAGTGAAAGATATTACGTGTTACTAGAAGAAATGGATTGTTCAGAGAGCAAATGCGTTGGTATCTCAGCCTAAACTTTTAATTGGCTCAAACGTTTTGGCATGTTGACAGTATCGGTGGAGAAGCCAAAGACATTATGAACATGATGACACCCTTCTGTCACTTCCTGCTCAGTAGTGCTTAAGGTGACTAAAAAAGTAAATTAGAGAGGCAGTCCATGCAGTTACAAAGAAAACAAATATGACTTCATCCCAAAAGTTTGTCCAATAGGATAGTGCTATTGCATATTGCAAGTTACGCATGGAAACTTAAGTATCTCCTTTGTAGGCAACGGCATCTCATTTATGTAGCTCATTACTATAGACTTAGCCTGACCACATGAGAAGAACAGAAAGCTTTTCTGTCTCCAGTGAGCTGGCATCTGTTTTTGAGAATAGAATTTCACACTTTCTATTTCTATAATAAGCCAAACAAATCATACTAATTCAAGAGTAATTGTGGATGCCAGACAAACAAGAAATGCCAGCTTCAGACCATCTTCTAGAACTGGCAAAAATATTATCTAGTTCTGAACCTTTGGCATCCTTAGTTTTACAGCATCCTAGTAACAATCATTCACAAAGGAAAAGTAGGGATTTTAATGTCACACAGCAATAATAGCCCTTTTAATGAATACTATGACTGTGAACTCTACAGATTCATGCAGTCACTACACTTTATGGCAGTTCAAATGTGCTTCACATGGTCAAGTTCTCTCAGCTGCAGCCTTCCTTTCTTCAGCAATTTCCTATATTTGTTCAGGATTTCTAAATATTGGGAAGCCTAGCTGAGAGAAATTCCAAACACACTCAAGAGGAAGAGCACAGTTGCTGATTCTGTGCAGGGTACCATCAAAACATCTTGTTTATATAGTGAGCGTACACATCACACTCACCTCCAGCATCCCAGGGTAAAAAAGACAAAAATCCTTTGCTTCACAGAGGACATGACCTACGATATACAGCTCTGAAGCAAGACATATTGGTCCTTCCTTCCACACACCCAGGCAGACTCACACTTCTCCACCCAAAGCTGCTTTTCCATCATGAATGTATTTCTGCTACACAACCCAGCTACTTCCTCCTTCTGCTCATTGAAAGAACAGGTGATAGAGTAAATACAGCAGTAACACCTGCACACGTCTCCTAGTGTGCAGCCTGCAGACCAGGCTTGTGTGTTTGAGGTTATCTTAATTCTGCCCTGCTGTGCAGGCCTTAACTTCTCTTCTTCTGATTTTCAACAATGAACCTTTGTTAAAGTTGATGTTCTGGAACTAAAATAAAGTTGTCTGGCAATTTTATCTCTAAATAAAGTGTTTTCTCTTCTGAATTAAGAGCTCCATATCCCATGACAGACTTGTACTTTCAGCTACTGCATTACCTGCTTTCTTCTCTGCCTGTATAAATTGGACCTTCCTTCACTACTGGAAGAAAACACAGCTGTGTATTTGCTTGTTTATAAAATATTTTGCAGTCATTTTGAATTGGATGTCATGCTCAGACTTCATGTAACTAGTGCCAAGGTTTACAACCTGACATACTTTATCGAACAAAGTCAAATTTTCATAGGCAGCACAGTTTGTAGATGAGCCATGTCATCAACACACACATCGAAGTTAGTTTGGGGAAACAATTCGCCAATAAACCTTACTTGCTGTTTTCCCCTCTCACCTGTGCTGACCCTTCCTGGGATCATTCTGGATTTCTCTTTCCAGTGAGTTAGCTCTATGCCAGAGGTGTGAGTTGAACTGACCAAACAAAGGTGCTGAGGAGCTGATGCAAAAGAATCTTAGGGGGATAAAACCATGCTTCTTTTGGCACTGATAGGTTATTAGATAGACTTGTTTGTATTATGCGTAACTCACCTTTCACACAACACGGCGCGTTCATACCAAGGCTGCCCAACAGCCCCGTCTGCCCAGCGCTCGGCGAGCTGGCTCATGGCATCTCTGCCTGGGAGCTCCCAAAACGAGAAGTGAAGTTCAAAGAAGCAAACAGCTCCCTAGGAGATGGGCTCACTGGTGCTCAGCTTCGCCCCTCCTCCCCTGCCGCCAGCTCTCCCAGCTCCCCGACCTGTGCGGGACGCGCATCGCTCACTCCTCGCCTCCCGCAGCCGGCCCCGCGGAGCC